ATCCAACAATCACTTTTTAAGAGTTTCATTAAAATCTACTTAGAGATATTTTGCTAACAGACAGACACGCAAAGGCACTCAGACGCAGGCGATACGTGATACAAGTTTAGTTTAGAATGCACTGAAAACAGTGAATCGGTGGTTTTTGATGGGTAACACACACGGAGTGTCAAGTCTGCCTGAAAATAAACAACTGTTTTGTCATTGAGTGGAATCCAGTACGCTTGTGGGGAAGCAGTTAAATAACTTGACAGAGTGAGAACAAATCCCAAACGTTGTGGCTAGTTTAAAGCATTTGTGTGTTGGATCCAGGAAGCTGCAGCTACTCTGCTCTAAAATCTGAGCTTACTTTCCGTCTTCATGGCTGTCACTCGTCCTGACAGTGAGAGTGCTCTTAACTCCCTCGGCAGAGTGTTTATTACTGAGGCGGAGTTGAGTCACCGCTCTGAGTCGCTCTCAGACCACCACATTAATCTCCATTAACACACATAGAGACTTAATCCCTGCTCTTCGACAGCTTCCCGCCCGAGGTCATCGCCCGCGTCGATACTTTCGCAGGATAAGTGCCGCAGCTGGCAAACCACCACACCAAGGTTAACGCTACATTTTTCTACTTTTGCATTTTCTGTCATTCATTAATAGAAACGTTCAGCTTGATGGGTAAAGGTTTACAATCTTTTAATGAAAACTTACACATTTTCTTTATTTGAACTTTATTGTTCTCTTTTTCGCCTTCGACGAAGACGGTCGCTCTTACCCTCCTTCCCTCCTGCTTTTTTGCTCTCTTGTGCTGTCAACCTCAGAGCCTCGCACATCTTCCGAATCAGAAATTATTATGGATTTGGTCAGCTGGTCCCTCAACTCAATTGATAATTTTTTTTTCTCCAGCAGACGACAGGGAGCTGGAGAGCCCTCATGCCCTGAACGGACCCTCGCAGCTGAGTATGTCATGGATTCCTGGAGTGAGTGGAAGAGGGTATGCCTATCTGTGCTGTCCGTGGAGTGTACATTATTGGATTTATGATGACAGGGTTTCTGCTTTTTGGAATCGGTGGATACCTTGGATATCGACAAATTAGGAAGACGTCGGCAGCAGTTTCGGCTCCGTGCCTCAAGCTCTCAAACTCATATGCTTAACGAGCTCAACCGCAAGCTGAACACGATTTCTGAGAATCGTAGGCCACTTGTGGCTCCTGGAACTCGCCAGCATGAAGGATTCAATCTTGGAGAAAGCTGAATCGAGCACGGACCGAGCGGAATGTCCACTAATTCTGGCTGTTTGGATTCACCATTGAGTTGTACCAGCAGAATTTGAAGGCAGACTGAAAACAGAGTCTGGCGTCCCAAACAATTGTTGTTTATCTGAATTTGGCCTCCCCGTGGGCCTTGGACAGGCCAACTTATCTCAAATTGCTCTTGGAGGATACGTAACTAGAAGCTCTGCCTGGCCCCACCCTCCCGAGGACATCTGTGGCCTTATCAGGACCATGACGCTGATAGACACTGTACCAGTTTATCAGAACTTTGGAACTCTGGAGTGTTTATGGATAATTCACTGGCTTTGTTGACCTCTATGATTAAATGTATTATGATGTCTTTGTATGTTGCAGCTTTATGTGGTGAGGGCTTTTTTTTTTTTCATCTTTCACACTGTTTCCCAGCCAGGAAATGGTGTGAGACTTTTATTTTTGGCTTCCTCCATCCTCGTGTTCTCTTTTTCTCATCTGCCTGTATGTCATATGTAACAGGTCTCTCTTGTAAATGAGTCTTCAAGGCTCAGTGGGAACTAACCAGTATAAATAAAGGTATAATAATAAAATTTACAATGATGTTTATATAGAAATCCACTGAGATCTCTTATGTTCTTTCAAAACATATTTTCTGAATATTACTACAGTATGTTTAATATATTTTTATCTTATGTTTCCTTTAGCTTTTAGCTACCATTATGCTAATTTTAGCTTGTAGCAATGGTTTGCTAATTCTAACTTTTAACATGGTTTTACAACATTTAGCTTTGAAATCCTGTTTCACACATATATTTTTTTCATTCAACCTTTATTTAAACAGGTTAGTCCCACTGAGCCACAAGGACTCAAGGACACGAGGACTTGGAGCTTTTAGGTAAAGTTTTGCTTATTTTAACTACGGCTTTGCAATATTTAGCTTTTAGCTATTGTTTGCAAATTTTTTGGTAGAATTTATTAAAGTTTTGCTTTTAGTTATTCTTTTCTTAATTTTAGCCTTTAGCTACAGTTTGGCTACATTTAGCTTTTAGCTAAGGTTTTGCTACATGAACATTTGATGCAGTTGCAGAAGACATGGAGGTAGGTGGAACGAGGACAGAGAACATAGAAAACAGAGTGAGGTGGAGGAGGATCATTTACTGTGGAGACCCCTGAAGAGGGAACAGCTGAAAGAAGAAGACTAAGAAGATTTTGATTTTTAACAAAACTTTATTTACACAATAAGTTAACACAACAGTGTTAAAAAAGGTGATCATGGCAAGCTTAAAATAAAATATTTATACGAGGAGCTTGTTGTATTGTAGTTCTCCCTGATCAGAAATGGTGTGTAAAACTTTCTTAAATCCCCACAGTTTCACAAAGTTCTCCAGGTGTCCAGTGTCTCTGTGGAAGCAAAACTCCAGCACCAGTCTGGCCTTGACATTGCACCTCCACAGAGCCACAGCACCAAGTTGGGGTCCAGCCTGCAGTTTGTCCCTGCGAGACAAGTAAACAGACATTTTTGCTTCGGCTACTAAAAAGTTTACAGTTTGGGATTTAAACTTCGTGGCTTTGCTGTAACGTACTCCATTGATAAAAACAGATTTGGTGAAAACTGTGTCAAAAAAGCTGAAGATCCTTGTCAGTGGATTAAACAGAGTCGTCAGCCGTGCACAATCTGTAAAAACATGAAAAACACTCAAACTGCAAAAAGGACGCTCATTTGAAACCTCAGGACTGATGACCGACAAAAAAAAGTTTGTTACAATGGCGCCGTGAAGGATCCTCCATTGAAGATCGCCAGCCCGTTTTTTTGTCGGAGGTTTGTAAAGAGTCCTCCACTGGGGCTTCTGACCTCTGGGCTTGTCATCCCACACGCTGACAGCTCTTTTGTGCAGAGTTCTCTTGTTCAGGATCTTCACATAATTCTTATAAAGTACTTTTGGACCCGTTCTGTACAATTCTCTTTGGGTTTCTGTTGCGTAGCAGAGGACCACTGTCTTTCGCAAAGTTAGGGTCCAGGTGGATGTCCGGGAAAGGGTCCTTTGGGTCAGGCGGGCGATTCCCCATGGACCACAGCTGCAGGAGACGCTTCTCTCCAGCTGTCATCCTGTCCTTCACCAGGTCCAGGAAGTGCTGCACCAGTCCAGCAGGCCGGACCCCAAGCAACGAAACCACCTCTCGGACGTTGGCGAAGTCTGGTCTGGCCGTCTCCACCAACCGCCTCAGAGTCACCGTCCCAGATTTGCACAGTGTCTTTGACAGACCCGGCACCGTGCTATTACAGAGGCCAATTCTCGCTTCACAGACTAGTGGGTCCTCTAAGAGCCGCTGCAGAGAATTATACGTTTTTGATCTGTTTGGTTACAAAGAAAAACTTTGAAAACACTCTGATAAAACTGGGGCAACCCCTTCAGCTTTAAAAGGCCAACACTGGTTAGAAACAGAGCAGCATCCAGCCCCAACCCGCTCACACGTCTGAGGATGCAGCTGGCCACGTCCCTCCACACGGTGTCAGGAGGTCCTGCCAGGTACTTCTGGAGGAAGTGTATTTGAAAAGTGGCCATTCTGCTGGCCAGGTGGACAAGGCCCTGTCCCAACTCCTCTCTCTGTAAGAACAGGACCGACTGTGGCATCCAATGTCGATCGTTCCAAAAAAAAATCTACCACCTCAGACTGTATTTTTATTAATAAGCCTGGAGGTGTGTCTACAACAGATAGTTTGTGCCACAGTTGTGATGTAACTACAGGTTGTCTAAAACTAGCACTCTGCCTCTGTAGGACATTTTAGAGCGCAAACATTTCCATTTTTCCAATTTACTCCTAAACTCCTGTTCCACATTTTCCCAGTTTTTTCATACTAAAGCTTTATCCCCTATAGACAAAGAGGTATTTAAACCCATCTCTCTTCCACGGGAGAAGAAGAAGTAAATTAAGAATTAGACTAAGAGGACTAAAACTAAGAAGAAGATCAAGACAATGACAACAACGACAAAGAAGAAGACGGAGGAGGAAGAAGAAAGAAAGAAGGAAGGATAAGTACTAATACTAGTAGTAGTGTAGTGGACTGGTGTGTGCAAAAGTAAACTGGTGCAGTTGATCCAAAACTGGTTTGAATAAGAATAAAATGCTCATTGGCAAAGCTCCACATAGCTTTCTGCATGCCAACACAAAACTGTTAGTCTAATTTTATTAATAATAATAATAATAAGTTAATATCAACACCATTAAGTCTGATGTGAGGCATTTTAAGCTTGTGGGAAAGTAAACTATAGAGACTTTTCTCATGATGTAAAGGAAAAACATGCAACGCTACATCGTTAGTGAGAGATCTGCAACGCTAAGTTAGATTTAGACGTCTCTGTGGTGGGCGGGTAAAAATAGCTCTTTCTCAACCTGAATTTGAGAAAATGTGAACTCATCTCTTTGTTTCCTGGTGAGGTCAGAACCAGTGGCGGGGGGATGGAGAGTGTGCTGTGGGAGCGCTCTGTGTGGTGAGAAGCTGTCAGTTTGTGTGCAGCCATAAAAAGAAAACACATTTAAAGACTAACTAAACTAACTCCTCTGGGCTTCCCTTCTGTGTCTAAAAACTGATCAGAACCAGCGTTTCTGAGGCCTTCAGCCTGATTTGTTTATATATAGATGACTTAAATATTTCAAAATATAATAAATGCAAATTCATATTTTGAATTGTTTCTGAAAACCAAATCACAAACCTCTTTAACCCAGGACAAGATTTTCATTGTGTAATCTTCACGTTAGTGTTTGACCTACCAGACTGTCCACTCCACCCAGTGTGTGATTGGCGTTGTACAAGGAGTAGGTCAGCTGGTAAACGCCATCATTGGTCTCACTGTTGCCATAGAAACCCACACCCACTGCGATGCTGCGGGGAGAAGAGGAGGGACAGGTGAGTCTTTGATGAATTAATGAGGAGCAGAGGACAACAGCAGAATTGATTAGATTGTAGATCCTCTATGATCAGAAAAAATGTCCTTTCCAGTGACTGAATCCAAACATTTGTCAGCTTCAAGACATTTTACTGGAAAAAACTTGAAACTGACTAAAACTTAAAGACGCCAGTAAATTAAAATACAATTTACTTACGATTATGTTAAAAACATTAATCCTGTATCTTGTCAAACATCTTTGAAACAAAATGTGCAAATCACACATCAAAATGTGCAGCTCAGTTGGGAAAAGTGTGCTGTGCGTTTTTGTATCAGTAGTTTTGTACAACAAAAACAAAACTGGCAAAAGAACTGCGCCAAAATCAACGGGAATCAACGGGATTTTGATGAATCGGATGAGGAAAACCAAGCCTTCTTTACAGCTCTCCAGCTCGGACAGACCTTACCGCAGAAACACAGTTCAAATTTTAAACACATCAAAATAAGTTGCACGTGACATGTCTGAACTGGCATTTTGATATATTGTACAGGTTTTACACAATCACAGTCTAAATTTTACAATTTTGAAGAATTTTCTAATTTTGAAGAATTTTCTATTAAATGTTTAATGGACTTTTGATGTGATTTACAAATCTTTGAAATGTTAAAATTTTTAATCTTTTCCAAACAAACTCTTCTTACTCCCACAACACTAATGTATTTTGTTAAAACTTAGCGGTTTGTTTATCGCGGACTCGCTCTATCGCGGTTTTTCAAAATAAGACTGGACATGACACACAATTGGCCTATTGATGGAATTTTTATTTAAAATAAATACATTATTTAGCACCTGCTGCACCTTTGTGCAGCCCAGAGCTGTAGAAAAAGCTTCCTCCTGCAGCTGATCAGCTGTTCTCCGTGCAGCGCGGAGAAGTGGGCGTGGCCAAGAGCGCTTGCAGATGGCAAAGAGTAGACAAGGTAGAGAGCTGAAATCATGACATTCTGTGCTCTTTTAGAGCTTTTACAGTTTAGAAACATTGTTTAGAATATTGCAAGAGTGTGTGAAGGGTTTAAAACACACACACACACACATTTACTACTTGTACTACTATTCCTACTTTGTGGTTTTTCACTTATCGCAGGTCTTCAGGGTATAGATCCCCTGCGATAAACGAGGGACTACTGAACATCAAAATGTACTATTTTTGTCTTCTTTACCCAGCTTGTCTCTCACTGCTATAGGATTTATGATTTTTTTCTCAAATCTCTCCAGAATACGATAAATGCACGCCGAAGATTCAGTTACCGATACATTTTAGCTCAAAAGGGTTATATTTCCTACATTAAACACTACAGAAATATAAAAACTCACGTGTGACCAGTAGTGTCTTCTGCACGGTTCAACACTTTGTAAGATCTGATGTTGCACAGCACCTATCTGTTCTAGCTGAGACTAACTTTTCAGTCTGTTCTGCCTGTCTCACTTACAGTTGCAGTCTGGGAGTGAGGCAATATTGTTTGGTTACCGTGGTAACCACCATGAGCCACTGGCGTCAGCTTGAGCCTGTTTTTGTTGTTGTTGTTGTTTTAATCTTGGCTTTTGTATTTTATTTTTTACACAGTTAGTGGGAAAACTATCAGAGTAAAAGCAGATTAGAAACATGAACTTACTGGAAAAATGCAAATACTTCGATCAACTTTCATCCTGAATTTAAAATGAGAAATAATGAATATTTTCCCGCAGGTCCCTGGTTCAAACCCCGGTCCAGGGGCCTTTCTGGGTGGAGTTTGCATGTTCTCTCCGTGCATGCGTGGGTTTTCTCCGGGTACTCCGGTTTCCTCCCACAGTCCAAAAACATGCATGTTAGGCTGATTGGTAACTCTAAATTGTCCCTAGGTGTGAGTGAGAGAGTGAATGGTTGTTTGTCTCGTTTGTCTCTATGTGGCCCTGTGATGGACTTGCGACCCGTCCAGGGTGTACCCCGCCCCTCGCACAGTGATTGCTGGACATGGGCACCAGCAACCCCCGTGACCCAAAATGGAATAAACGGGTAAAGAAAATGGATGGATGGATGGAATATTCTCCCTTTTCATCCTCCCAGTCCTTTAAATTCTACTTTATTCTGCTCCTTGAAGTATTTCTCGTCTTAGTGAGAATGAATACCGTTGACACAACCCAAAATTTCTCCTGATATGTTCTAGTTTTCGTATACTGTTCCAAAACAGCTGTGCACCAGAGAGGAGCATGACAAGACAGCAAAAAAAAAAAAAAAAAAGATCAGACAAAACCTGAAATTAGATAATCATTCAAGTATGACGGTGCTGCTGTGTCTTCTATGCATTCTTGTGTTTCGTCCATAAAAACACGTGCGCTGCACATTTCATTCCTGAACTCAATGAAGCCTCTTTGAATCCCAACTTAAACCTTAACATTTTCAAGCAATAATCAAAGAAAAACACACATAATGCTCTAAATTGTGTATCTGAGAAGCAGTGAAGCTGTAAAATTTACATTTCGGTGTTAATTTATGTAAACAACACACATCGAAGCAGAACTGACTAAATGTTGGCTTTTGGATTGCATCTGCATAATTCGAAAGCCCTTTTGCATCCGAGTGTTTTAATGGGATCAGCTGGAGGATAAGCACAAACAAAATAACCAGCAATCCACTGCAAACATGGACTCTGACACTTCAGAGCTCGACTTTAACCTGAAGTGCAAACGTGATGCTAAAATGAGCAGCCGTGTACATAAGTTGATTGATTCCAGATTAAAAAACAGCGCATGTGATGATAAAAAGTAAAGTAATGCTGTTTATATATTATTATATCAGATAAAGTAAATGCTAATACTGTACGCATTCAGGGTGGGTCATAACACCTTTGCCAGCACACAGCCCTAAACCTTTCTCAATCATTGCATCCAATTACATTGGATAAGGAAGACTCAAATACAGAACTCGCTGCAGAGACACCAATAAAAACTTAGTCTTTAAACCTGACGCAACAAAACTACAGGAGCAGGATATTCAGTGTTTACAAATGCACCCGCTATATAGAATGAAGATGGAAAGAACATAAGAGTATCTGACGGAGAACAAAGAAGGTAGGGCGCGTCAATTCGATATATATCACGATATACTTTGATTAATAACGGTGATTTGAGTTTTAAGCACATTTTCGATATTTTGATATGATTACAGCGTTTCACTTACGTATTTCTTTTTCTGTTCAAGTTGAAGCAGCCGTTTCAACCCGAACAGAAGAAGCCGCGACATAACCACTTAAGTGGGTGGTGACATACACCACACAGACCTCGAAGGAGTCAGCGGTAGCAGGCTAGGCTAAGCTCCAACGCGCGGTAAGTTTTCACTTCAAAACGAGTGCCCAGGATCATCAGAATGTGACTGAACAAGCTTTCACAAGCGAAGAGAAAGCAGATGACATCACTGATAAGAGAGGAAAGACTAAGTTGGCGGTGTGGAAGTGGTTCGGCTTTCTAAGATCCGATAAACTGCCGGTTTCAGTCGGTGTGCTGCGAAATGTGATGGAGAGTCGTTCCAACTAGCGGTGGGAACACATCTAACTTGTTCCATCTGCAGAGTTTCCACTCGATAGAATATATATGTTATATGTTAATATGTTTATTGGACAGTGATTTCAAATTTCTTTTGAAGGCTAAATACAAATAAAAGGTGAACATTAATTTATTTGTAGTTTGTGAAGTTTTTCCTGAGGCTTTTATATTGTTTATATCAATATCGGAATTATATTGTTATCAACCGAAATTAAGAAATGCATTGTGAGGATGCACCAATCCACTTTTTCCACTTCCGATACCGATATCCGAGGTTAGTTGTCTGTCGATACCGATCCGATACCGGGGGGGAACTGTGCTGAATTCCATTCAACGAACTCGGCGTGCTCTTTAGGGTGAAATCTCTGGAGATGCTTGATTAAGTATAACTGGAAGTTTTAGTGACACCCCCTGGAACCGTTGCTGTGCACATATTGCACGTAGCTGTCGAATGTGTTGGCTGAGGTAGTGTGGAATAGTTCCAGATACCTGATCCTTTCGCTCGTTCCATTTTGAAATCAATCTGTGCGATGAGTTTGCTAGCGCGTGACGTCACTCAGAGCACAAAGCATAGAATTAGAGTGAATAGATCTGCCCAGTCATGGATCGGTCACACTGTCACCGATACCTGATGCAGAAGTTTTTTCCCCGATATCGGTACCGATATCAATATTGGTATCGGATCGGTGCATCTCTAAAAAGTTTTGACCATATCATCCAGCCCTAAAAGAAGGCCAGAATACATACTGAAGAGCCGAAGGCAAACAGAGAACAGTTGATTGGAAATGTGTGACAATACCAAGGAGTAAAGTGGACAAAGAAAAATTAAACACAGTGAACACAAGGTATTTTAATTTAAAACTGTGTTAGAACGTGGGTTATACTTTAACTGTGCATAAAAATGGACCCTTACAGTAACAAAGTCACAGTGTACATTCTCATTCATCTGGAAAATAAAAACTCATCAAGCGAACAGAAATGAAAGTGGCCGAGCTTCTTTGTAGAAGACGTACAGCATGCAGTCTGGGATGTCCTGGGCATGTACCAGATAAATACCAGGTATGTATCCTTTGAAAACCAGGTATTTACCTGGTCCATGTGTACACTGTCAGTGCCGTGTACTTACCTGGTACATATTTAGTTAGTACCGCTGGCAGTATCAGGTATTCACCTGGTACATTTGCTGTACATATCTGGTACGTACTTTGTAAGAACTAGGTATAGCATGGAACATACCAGGTTCATACATTTGGCAGCACAATCGCTTAGTGGTTACTAGCATCGTTGCCTCACAGCGAGAAGGATCCGGGTTCAATTCCTTGTTTGGACGTGGGGCCTGTCAGTGTGCAGTTTGTATGTTCTCCTTGTGTTTGCATGGGTTTTCTCCCACAGTTCAAAAACAAGCTTGTTAGGCTGCCT